AGATGACGTAGTTAAAAGAGTCAGTCCTGAGTCAGGTGTCAACAAGAGAGTTCTGGCCCTTCCAAAAACTTGGATGTGATCTTGGGAAAGTATCTGTGCCACAATTTCCTTTATGGTAAAAATGGAAAATGATACCTTCTTTGCCTACCTTATAACATTATGATGACAAAATGAATATTGTATATGAAAATGCTCTTAAAGAATTAAACCCCAGGCAAAAATCAGCTGTTTCTTGTTTCAGATAAGTCGTATGACATAATGAAAAAAAACCACAGATCAAATCCCATATATGCCATTTGCTACTTAGTAACTTTTAGTTCCTTGATTTAGGGAAGTGGAGGGAGTCATTTCAATCTGTTAGAATTACTTAATGACTTTCAAAGAGCTAAGGTAAGCACAGCGCCTGACACAAAGTAAGCAGATAAAAACGGTTGTTTTCTTTTTCTCTTCCTTTCTAGAATGTCAGCATTCAGCCCAGAGGGACTGTCTTGGTCATTAACTAGACCAATACAGGCAGTGGGCTGGTTAATGATAGACTGTAATCTTCAGCCCTGAGATCATCTGACGTGTGTACACAGTCTGGGAACATGTATAGCACTTTGTGGCATCTCACTTTACCTCAGCAATTCATTACAAAACCTAATTGTGCAAGTAATACCCACAGACTGTCAGCTGACAAAACTGGTCTTGGAAATACTTTTGGTTGGTTGATAAAGTCCTTAATGGAGTTTTGTTTACTTTTATATGTGATTGGTTGACTAGCGTTTTTCCAATATTTCCTCTATTTTTTCTAATCAAGATTTAAGAATTCAGATTGTAGAATTTTCACTCAAAATTATCATTTAAGATTACTTCTGTGTCTATCACTTGTATGTGTACAAGTGTGTGTTTAAATAAACAAATCTTGTTTCTGATAGGGTCATAACACAGAACAAGTTCTGGCATGTGGCTCCCATGATTTCCATCTGTTTTGTCTCTCATTAATGAGCTGTGTGTTGTGGCCAGTCAACTTCATGGCTGTAGGGTGGAGGAATTCTATATAGAAATAGGAAGAGATATTCAAAATCAAATTGCTCACTAAGACGAGGATTATTTAGTGGAATCTGGGAACTATAGTATGTTCCTATTGAGCTAATGTTCCTTAAGCCTGTCTCTAGGGAACAAGCCTAGACCCAGTCCCCAACCCCTCAGTGCTGGCATGTCAGAAGTTCTGTTAGACTATGACTTCCCTGGAGGCACTGAGAAAGAAAAGTGACTGAAGCCAACATTGCTGTATAATTTCTAGCTATCAGATAAAATTTCTCAGACATTAGGTGCTTGTTCTAATTTGTTGAGTAAATAAATAAATGACTAACTTCTTAAGCATCTTCAGGATGGGGAAGTCAACAATAGAGTATGGGAAAACACATTCTAGTTTAATAGTTGGGAATGTTATCTCTTTCCAGATCCAGCCAATGTATCTGTATACTTTGCTGTTATTTTTTTATTCAGGGGGGTCAGTTTTTTAAATTTTAAGTTTAAAAAAATTCTGACACTTAGTATTTGGTGCATTTTATGTATTTTCAGTAGTAATGTAATTGCTTTTTTTTTCTTTCTTCCCTCTGTGAATTACTTGAAGTGACTGCCACCCAGGTTGTATATTCTTGGCAGATGTGCTTTATTATTTTTTTTTTTCTTGGAATGAATGAATGTTGTGAATTTTTTGGTTGGGGCTACATGAGACCAACATTTCCAAACATTTCTTTGAGAGGGAAGAGTTACACACCACTGGTGTGGTGCTGTAGGATAAGCACTGGGAACGCAAGGTTGATCTGAACCACAAGGTCAGCAGTTCAAACTCACTAGCCGCTCCTTGGAAATCCCATGCAGGGTTGCAATGAGTCAGAACTGACTTGATGGCACTAAACAACAACAACAACAACAACACATGCCTGCATTTCAGAAAGGCATGGGACTGACTTAGGGGACAGAGGTCTGATCCACTAGAGAACTGTGGCTTTTCAGAAAAAAATTGGGAGCAGAGGTTATGGGGATGGGAAGTTAAAGGATTAGATTAGTCAACTGTTTGGCAACTATACACTTTTGCTTCTTCTAAACTTTCTTCCTTCATGGAGCTAGAAAAGGAAATACTGAATATGTACTAATGTTAACAAATTTGGGAGGAAAAGACTTATTGAAATCCATAGTAAAGTATGCACTTTATTACACAGCAGTTTTATAAGATAATACAGACTTTTTTTGTGAAAAATCTATAAAATCCACTATAAAATAAAAAGTGACAATATTACTAAAGGTTGAAGAAAGATGGCATTTCAGAGTCCTGGGCTCCAGGTGGCAACATAGCCATCAAAAATGGACATAATGCAAAACCTTATTAAACAGCTCTCGAAAATAAAATGCAGAGTGCTTATTTCATCACATAGAGACATACTGATTTTATGTATAATACAAAAGCATTCTGGATAAGTAGAAACCTATCTATATTATATTTCTCAAATAAAACGATAATATGATGAAGAAACCTTATGTCATTACAGTATATTAAACTTTTTGGCAATGGTTTTCATCATAATTTGGAAAATTCATCCAAGCATTCAACTTCCTTTTTTATTACAAAAGTATACTTATGTTTTGGATGTACAAGTACTAATTCTGAAAGTCTGTTTCATTCTTAAATGCTTATTAAATTTGTTTTCACTAGGACTAAGAACATTCTGTGTGATGAAAACTTAAAAAAATAAAGCCAATATGATTCAGAATACATGGATTTGTTCTCAGATTTTAGAAGAATGTGGAATCAGGACTGGAGGAAGACTCATTAACAACCTGCAATATGCAAATGATATAACCTTGCTCACTGGAAGCAAAGAGAACTTAAAATATTTACTTATGAATATCAAAGACCACAGCACTCAGTATGGGTTGCACGTTAGTGTAAATAAGCAAAAATCCCCATAACTGGACCAATAACATTATAATGAATGGAGAAAAGATTGAAGTCAAAGACTTCATTTTGCATGGCTCTACAACCAACACTCATGCAAGCAGCAGTCAAGAAATCAAACAACATGTTGCCTTAGGCAAATCTGTTGCACAAAGTCTCTTTAAAGTGTTCAAGGGCAAAGACATCAGTTCAAGAGCAAAAAACATCAGTTCCAATAGACTATATCCATGTAGCAGCTGTGTAATAAATAAGGAAGACCATAGAAGAAATGATGCATTTGAGTTTTGGTGTTGGAAAAGAATATTGAAAGTACCATGGGCTTCCAGAAGAACAAACAGATCTGTGTTGGAAGAAGTACAGCCAGAGTGCTCCATAGAAGCCAGCTTGGCAAGACTTCATCTCTCACACTTTGGACATGTTATCTATCAAGAATGACTAGTTCCTAGAGAAGGACATCATGTCTGGTAAAGTGGAAGGTCAATGAAGAAGAGGAAGAACCCAATGTGATTGATTGGCACAGTGGCAACAGCAATGGTCTCAAGCATAACAATTGTGACGAGGGTACAGGACTGGGCAGTGTTTTATTCGGTTGTGCATAGAGTCGCTACACTTGATGTCACCTCAATAGCTCCAAACAACAGCAGTATCAATAAATTAATAAATGGTTTTATTTTTTCCAATTTTAATGATTTTACCCAAGGTAGTAATTGATGTGGTAATAAGTGCTGCTTACAATAAGTCACTTTAAAGGTTCTCATGCTTGAATTTTCATCCATTTGAAGGCCTTTGGTTGGAACAAAGGATGCAAATATGGCCTTAATTTACTTGAAATTGTGTGTCCATGTGGGTAGCTACTAAATAAATGTTATAGCAATCAGCGTCAAAGTAATCCCTTAGCTTAAAGAACTGCCAAAATTCAGGAAAGTGTATTACCAGTGACAATTAAGAAAAAAACGTCATCAGATTTCAGTGACATTTCAAGTGGGTGAGTATTACAACACAAGAGAAATGACTGAAAAATTGACTTGATCTAATCCCGAAAATAATAGTATCAGTCACTATAGAATTATGCATCATTGATATTAAGACATTTATTTATTTTTTTTTGCCTAAAAGTGGTCAAATAGCAAATATAGATCATTATGATATGGTCTTTGTTGGTGACACCTAAGTCTTTCAAATCCTTTCATCTAAAAGCAAATAATATCAAATATCTTTCAAATAGAATCTCTCTCAAGATGAAACATATTCAAATATTTAAAATTTAATAGTTATTTGCATACATCCTCTCCAGAGTATAGACTCAAGTGCATGTCCTCAGGTATTTTTTGTCTTTTTTTCCTTCTGCCTCCCCTTTCTCCTCACTTTCTTTCTTTAGTGTTTTGTGATTTTACCTGTTCTAGGTGCTGATGCATCAATTTAGTCTTCATATCTGAAGTAATAATAAGAGATCAAGTCCAAAGTCTTTTTTGAAGGAATTGCTACTTATTTGTAAAAAGTACAACTCCAAAGTTAGGTGGAGATAAGGGATGGTGAGTCAAGCTTGGTGCTTATAACCCTTCAAAGAGTATTTCTAGGCTGAGTTTGGACATTCCAACCCATGGGAGGTCACATTCTATCGTAACCTCCCACACATTTCTCAGCCCTGCCTAACCAGGAGAGTAGATTCATTCCTGCTTCCTGAACATAGGCTATTATTTATTAAACTATGGTAGGAGGGCAAAAACAGGCAAGCAGCTTCCTTTAAAGGGATTCTCAAGTTAGGTGTCACCTGGAAACAGACAGTAGATGGTGGTGCTATCTGAGCAGTTGGCTGAGCCTCACAGTGCAAACTCACAATGCAGACTCATATTCTTGCCTGCAGTGTCCTGGTGAAGTCTATGGGAGAACACAAGACGTTCCCCTCTAAAGCAGAAACTTCTGAGCAGACATCACTAAGAATGGATGTGGGGTGGCTATGCCTAGAGTATCCTAGAACTATCGAAACTTCAGATCAGAGACATTTTGCCTTTTTTATATTTCTATAGAAGCAAGAAAGTCAACTGTGTGGAAAACCATGACTCATATGATTTGGCTGTTCTGTTTGGTGTTTCTTTTGCCTACAGAGTCCTGCAGAACATTATGCCAGGTAAGAAAAACGGAAAGAGGATGAATTGATGGGGGAGAGTAAGTGAAAAATAAAATCAAGCTGTTAACCAGTTTTCAGTATAGGGAGAAGATGGTGATGGGGTGTTTCAATAACCAGAAAAAACTGCAACTATAGGCAATCAAAAGCCCATTTCAGGCAATAACTGCAAATTATTTTTCCATCAATTTTTTAGATACATTCCAGAGGTATAATGAAACTGAACTGATTTCAGGTTGATGAACTCTGCTTTCCATATCATCTGATGGAGAAACTTTCAGTTGCTTTTAACCAGGACAGTAATACTTTCTTATGGGCAATTGAAAATATGTGGGGGTGGCGAGTGTGTCATAATAACTAGAAGGCACTTACCAATGGTGGTTAGTGGGTAGAACTTTGGATTGATTTGGCACAAGGAAACATTATCCCACTCAAAATGGCAATAGCATCTCTTCTGAGAAACCTGCTGGTGAACTCAAAATCCTAACTGATGTTGAGTTGTTGTTGTGTGCTGTGGAGTCAGTTCCGACTCATAGTGACCCTGTACAGGGTTTCTGAGGCTGTAAATCTTTACAGGAGCAGAAAGCCTCATCTTTCTCCAGCGGATCAGCTGGTAGTTTCGAACTGTTGACCTTGCGGTTTGCAGCCCAATTCGTAACCACTACGCTACCAGAGCTCCTGCCAGTTTTGTAGGCAGTGAGTCCAATGGTTCCCTCTGGAAAATTTTTCTTCATACCATTCGTAATTTTAATTTCCCTATCAGTTACTTATTTAAAATCAGTTGTGGAGGATCAGAGAGAAAGAACATAATATTTTGAGTTTTTTCAGAAGAAAGTGTTGCTTTTTAACCACTTTTGATCATAATATCTGGAAAGGAGCTCTGAGATCAACTTGTGACACTCAACTCCTTTATTTGACAAATGGAGAAACTGAAGATCATGGTGTGGAATGTGACTTGTTTCAGATTACTCATGCTAAGCTCACACAGGGCTAAATTCAGAGGCACTGTCTTCAGATTCTCAGTTTCTTGTTGTTTCCATTTGAACACATACCTTATTAACGATACCTACTTAGGAAAGAATGACTATGGAAGCTTCTTTTTAGGAGCTTTAAAAATACTACTTACTTTATCTTCTGAGTAGTGTGCATGGGAATCTTCTGTATAACTCTCTTCTTTCCCTGACACACAGTTGGCGTCTAATTTCTAGGGAAACTTTAGAGATCCCTTCAGAAAGGTCTCTTCTCTGAGATATCTCAAGCCCACGCCTTATAGACTATTCTACCCCACCCCGACTTCATCCCACTTCCCCATCTCTGCTGTTCTCCAAGACACACTATAGACTGTAGGCAGAAACAGGACAGTTTTGTTTTTTACTTGATTACTGGGGATCATCTTACCAGAAACGTTCAGTCCTTTTCCTCCATTGTACTAGTTGCTGGATGCAGATCTCTGGCTGTTATCCCTCCCCTGACATTACCTAGTCACCCAGGCAGCTTAGCAGGTTTAACAGGTTGCAGGTTTACAAGTGTCTTTTTCATGGCATTAGGTTGAGAATTGTTAGTATCTGAAGTTAAATGGCCCATGCCAGATTCCACCATGGAAATGAAATGACCAGAAGGAGGCTTCTATGTCTGTGGTTGGCAGATTAGTTGGGAAGAAGTGAATTGGATCCTTTACTTAAAAGAGCAGTTTTCAGAGCTCCATAAACAGCATCCTATGGTTTTCTGCCCATGTATTTCATTAATATGGCACTTCACTGGAGTCTGTATAATGGGTCAAGTTTCATCCAGAGTTGTCCTTCCCATGGCCCTGCTTTTACGTTGTTCACACAGTTTAAAAAACAAAACAAAACTCTCTTAGTCTGGCAAGTAAGGCCCAGAGGCAACTTGCTCCATGAGCAAGCACTAAATTTCTCATTCTGTGGGCCTGGGAAATCCACTCTGCTATCTCTTACTGATCTCCTGGTTTTGCTCTTCTGCGGGTCTCTGGCCCTGCTGCCATTGTTTCCTTGGCACCGCTTACTGCTGTCTTCTGTTTTCTTTGGTGTTACAGAACTTCAGTCTCTGTCTCCTGAGTCTAGGAGGCTCCCAGAATAGAAACTCCAGGTTCAAAGGATGTGCTCTGCTTCGAACTCTTCTTCTTGGTGTTAGTGGTGGTGAGGTTCCCCCTTTGCTTTAGAATTGGCTTTGTTTTAAGCCTAGTGGAATTTCAAAACTGTCCAATCCCCTCATTAGCATTCTATACATCTTATTGGCATGGTCCCACACACACAAAGTTGGTGGTTCAAACCCACCAGCCATTTCTTTCTTTCTTTTTTTTTTAAATGTTTTATTGTGATTTATGTAATAGTTTACATGGGAGAACATTAGTTTTTCATTCATCCTATCGTATATTGTTTCATTGCCATGGTTACAATCTCCTCCATGCATCATCAACCAACCAAAGGGCAGCCATTTCTGACTCATAGGTACCCTGTATAGGGTTTCTGAGGAGCAGCTGGTGGGTTTGAACTGCCAGACTTGGGGTTCATAATCCAGTGCTGATCCTGCGGCACCATGCTAGGTGTCAGGGTTGCTATGAGTCAGAACTGATTTAACTACAGTTAACAACATATATGTAGTACTGAACTAACTACTTTGGAACCTACAAGGAAACACAATACTCAATTATTTTTCTCAAGGAATTTTTTATTTAATGGGGAAGATAGTATGCATATATAAAAAAGGCTAGATAGCAAGAAAACACCTCAGGCGAGTATGCTGAGTACCGAATGAGTGCTTTGGTGGTATGGACAATAAATTCCACAAGAAATGGATAAGAAAAAGGTATCATTCAGAATTGGATCTGGGAATGGCACAGGCCAGCTTTAGCTTTGCATGTAAAAGATATTTAGTAATTCCATGTTCAAAGAATAATAAAAATAGCTAAATATTCCAGGAAATGTTCTAAGTGTTTTTTATAGCTCATCTCATTTATTCCTCATAAAAATTCTGAAGTATTACATAATTATAGAATTGTAGTTTCTGCTCTACTTTATGGATGGGGAAACTGAGTTTCAGAGAGATGAACTTTCCCAAGGCCCCAGGTGATGATAATCAATAGCGAGTTTCCAGATTACATGTTCTTAGCCACATGTGACATTGCTTTTCAGTGAAGAGTCAGGTCTGATATAAAAGATGGAATGTTGTTGTTGTTAGGTGCTATCCAGTCGTTACTGACTCATAACGACCTTATGCACAACAGAGCAAAACACTGCCCGATCCTGGGCCAACCTCACTACTGTTGCCACGCTTGAATCCATCGATGCTGCCACTTGGCCAATCCATCTCGTTGGGGGTCTTCCTCTTTTTCTCTGACACTCCACCTTACCAAACATGATATCCTTTTCCAGCGACTGGTCCCGCCTGACAATATGTCCAAAGTATGAAAAACGAAGTTTGGCCATCCTGGCCTCCAAGGAACACACTGGCTGCACTTCTTCCAAAAAGGATCTTTGGTTGTTTTGGCAGCCTATGGCACTTTCAGTATTCTCCTCCAACACCATAACTCAAAGGCATCAATTCTTCTCTGGTCCTCCTTATTCACTGTCCAGCTTTCGCACGCATATGAGGTTATTGAAAATACCATGGCTTGGGTCAGGCACGCCTCAAGCTGACATCTTTGCTCTTCAACACTTTAAAAAGATTTTGTGCAGCAGATTTGTCTAACGCAATACATTATTTCACTTCTTGACTGCTGCTTCCGTGAGTGTTGATAGTTGATCCAAGAAGAATTAAGTCCTTGGCAACTTCAGTCTTTTCTCCATTGATAAGGATGTTGTTTATTGGTCCAGTGGTGAGGATATTTGTTTTCTTTACTTTGAGATATAATCCGTACCAAAGGCTTTGCTATTTGATCTTCATCAGTAAATGTTTTAAGCCCTTTTCACTTTCAGCAAGCAAGGTTGTATCATCTGCATAGCACAGATTGTTAATGAGTCTTCCTCCAATCCTGATGCCACATATTTCTTCATATAACCCAGCTTCTCAGATTATTTGCTCAGAATACAGGTTGAAATGAATATGTATGGTGAAAGAATAGAACCTTGTCACACATCTTTCTAAATTTTAAATCATTCAGTGTTCCCATGTTCTGTTTGAACAACTGCCTCTTGGTAGGTACAGATTCCTCATGAGCACAATTAAGTGTTCCGGAATACTCATACTTTGCAATGTTGTCCATAGCTTGTCATGATCCACACAATCAAAAGCCTTTGCATAGTCAATAAAGCATAGGTAAACATCTTTTTGATATTCTCTGCTTTCAGCCAAGATCCATCAGACATCAGCAATGATATCTCTCGTTCCACGGTTTCTTCTGAATCCGGCTTGAACCTCTGGAAGTTCTCTGTCAATGTATGCTTGCAGCTGTTTCTGTATTACCTTTAGTAAAACTATACTCTCATGAGATATCAAAGAGATTGTCTGATGATTTCCGCATTCCGTTGGGTCACCTCTCTTTGGAATGGGCACAAATACGGATCTCTTCCAATCAGTTGGCCAGATAGTTGTCTTCCAAATTTCTTGGCATAGATGAGTGAGTGCCTCCTGTGCCGCCTCACTTTCTTTAAAGATTTCAATTTTTATTCCATCAATTCCTGGTGCCTTGGTCTTTGCCAATTCCTTCAATGCACCTTGGACTTCCTCCTTCATTATCATTGGCTCTTGATCATAAGCTAATCTTGAAATGGTTGAACATTAACCATTTCTTTTTGGTACAGTGACTCTGTGTATTCCTTCCATCTTCTCTTGATGTTTTCTGCATCATTCAATAACTTGCCCAGAGAATCTTTCAGTAACAAAAGTCGAGGCTTGAATTTTTTCTTCAGTTCCTCAGGCTTGAGAAATGCTGAGCGTGTTCTTCTTTTTGGACAAAAAAATGTGCAAAGATCTGGAATCAGAAAACCAATTGGAATAGACACACACACACAAAAAAACCCCAAAACAATAACAAACAAAAACCCTACTCTTATCATTAATTCCAACTTATAGTGACCCTATAGGACAGAACTGCCCCTTAGCGTTTCCAAAGTTTTAAATCTTCATAGAAGCAGAGTGTCATACATTTCTCCTACAGAGCTAGTGCTGGATTTGAATCCCTAACCTTTTGATTATTGTTGTTGTTAAGTGCCATCGAGTGGGTTCCGACCCATAGCGACCCTGTTTTACAGGGTTTTCAAGGCTGTAAATCTTTATGGGAGCAGAAAGCCTCATACTTTCTCAACTTTCTCGAACTGCTGACCCTAAGGTTCACAGTGCAATTCGTAACCACTGAACTACCAGAGCTCCTTTGGTTATTAGGCAAGTGGTTTAACTACTCTGTTACCAGATCTCCTGCAGAGAGAGGTATGGTAATGTTTATGATATTGGGGAGCCAGCTTTTGGGTGGGTCCTCTTAAAGAAAAATACAAAATTAAGATAAAAGTGAATATTTACTTAGAATGTAAAAAAGGAACCACAAAAGATTTCATATTTAGAATACCGAAAAGTCTACAAATTCAGAAAAACATCATACTATTTTTATTAGTCAAGTCCCTGACACATCTCTTTATCGCTTTTCCTCTACACTTTTGGCTACTCCTAGTCGTTCTGCTGGAGGAAGATAGGCTTTCTTCTCCTGTAAAGATTTATAGCCTTGGAAATCCTATACAGGGTCACTGTGAGTCGGAACTGACTCCACGCCACATAACCATCACTGCCATAGACAGAATAGAAAGAGAATCCAGTTCTCCCTCAAGTGCTGTACATTAAGTTTGTTTTTTATTGTTGATAGTTTAGAAAAAATATCTTTCAGCTTTGCAATTCATTATGGATAATGCCATGTCAGTATGTAAGAATGCCGTCAACTTGGGGGAAACCTCTAACAAGTTTCTTTCATTTATGAGTCTCAGGATGTCAGGACATTTAGAATTTTCTTGGGCTGTGAGTAACTGGAAATACTCATTGCAAATGGTGCCACTTATGCGTTGATGTTCTCGGTGTAATGTAGAAATGATATAAATAAATTCTATTAAGTGAAACTAGATGTGTCTCCAACTCAACTTCTACTTGTCCTGATCCTATAAATACTTGTAGCCTTTCTAGTGTTACTCAAAAGGAGGAAAAGTGTAAAGAAGAGGCAGTTGGAGTGACAAAATATAATAATCTTAACAGAGAGTTGCTAAAACATTTTACTTTAGAAAATTTGATAAAATATATAATCATGTGAGCACATTGGGCAGCTCCTCTTCCAGGTCTTAGAAGGGGGCAAGGGACTCTGAAGCTCAAGCTTCATTAACTTCCCAGTGCCTCCACCTCTGCCAGTGATGGATTTCCAAAACAAGATGTGCACCATTCTTATCATAGGGGAATGAGGTCTCCTACTCAATGGTATTAGAAGAGAATATTGAACAGGCTGTAGGAGAGATGGGTTATGGTGCCATCCTTCATGGTTTCATATTCTGGTGGTCGATTCCACCATCGTAAGTCTATTCCAACATGGGTAGTCTGTGACTAAAGTCAACCATCAGACTGGCATATCAACGATTGACTTTGACTTTATTTTGATTTTCTCTTTCTAGGCTGCCAGTAAAATCAAAGAGAGTGTTTCTGACAGACCACAAGGTATGTTGGCAGCGGTTTCTAATCAAATGGGATTGCATCTATTGAGTTGAATTTTCTATAGCCCCCTGTCTTTTAGCAAGACTGAGAGTACTCCATGGCTTGCATTTGAACTCTTTCCTTCAAATTAAATCGGACCTTTGACCCCAACCACATTCCCCTCTTCTTCTAGTATTCTCGTCACCACCTTAGTCCAATAGTTCTGAGTTTTGGGGCACAGATTCTTTGGATTGAGTCAGCTCAACCTGGAGCAATGGCTACAGTAGAACTGTGAGACGTTCTTGCTGATGTAACTCATTATAAACTTCTAGATCTGGGAGACTTCTTAGAGAACATCTGTTACAGTAGCTTTCAAACTGTGTCCTGGGGTATGAGTAGGTCTGGGGGACTGTTGTGTGGTGTGACAGTGGATGAATCTGTAGGATCATCACTCTCACTTTAACTGGGGCAGTCCCCTTTTCATCTCTTTTATATGTCAGCATTTAGGATAAGATTTTGTAGGAAACAATAGGATTTTGTTGCCAAAAAAGTATGGCAACCACATATCTACTTCATCCTTCTCCATTTCATCAAGAAAGCCACCCGACAGCCAGAGGATTTATGCACCTTCACTGCGGGGAGACCTCGGTGATTGACCTCTTCATTTGATGCTGATGTCTCTTCTTTCCCCAGATAGATGTCATGGCGTCTGCAAAAAGAAAAATTCCCAGTGCAGACAACCCTGCCCTCCAGACACTCAGGGAAATATGGGGTTTTTATGTATGGAAAATAAATGGCACAAGGTCACTGATACCTGTCGAACTCTTAGTGTCTTCAACATCTTTGAGGTAATATTTTTTATCTCACAACATGGATTCTAATGTGGCCATCATGAACAAAATGGAGCCCCCAAAATAGCAATGCATATTGGCCCTACTGAGAGAGAGGAGGAACACAAGGTAGGGGAACATGTATCTGTGTTTTATGTGAATATATCACATGTATCTATTCTCTCTCTTTACATAAGAATCACATTCATACCTTTAGGAACCTAAAAGTTTGCACTTTAGTTGACCACTCCCTTTTGTGATATGAAGAAAGGAAGTACTTTTAAGACTTTCTGGGCCAAATGGTTTTTGTTACAGCTACTCACCTCTGCCTTTGTAATGTGGAAACAGTTCTAGATAATATATGCGTGAAAGAGTAGCTGTGTTCTGATAAAATTTTATTAGAAATGATCAGCCTAGAGCCATAGTTTGCCCACGTGATTGAAGTGGAGGACTCAGATCCTAAGTCTATTGGAATGACTATCCTTATTTTCAGTCATATTTCCCTTGGTGTTCCAGTTGATTTATCCAAATGTAGTTCCAAATGTCCGTATTTAAAATATGCTCACATCTCATGCTTTGCACATTGTGAATAGTAAAAATAAGCTTAAATGGCATCAATAATTTATACACACATACAGAGTATAGACACACAAACAGCTGGCACAAACTGTACTCAACTGCCAATCTAACAGCTAACAGTTCAAACCCACCCAGTACCATGGAATAAAGGCCTTCTTGTCGGTTTTTAATAGTATAGCCTATTAAATAGTATTTAATAGTATAGCCTAAGGAGCTGTTCTAGCATCATGGCTCCATGAGGTAGAATAAATTCAACAGAAACTGACAACACCATAAATACACAAAAACTGGTATGCTAAAGATAATACTTGCTATTTTAGGGGGATAGGGTTAAGGAGTTGTCTCGGGAAGTTGAGACTTCATTTTTTTTTTTTAACATATACACCTTGGTGTTGGTCAAGTTATTTCACAGGAGATGTGACTTGAAAATGTAAAATAGAAAAACATTATGCAAAATTTGTGTAATAAAGTTGCCCTAAATTTTATTAAAGGTCATTTAACATTTATAACAAAAGCAACATTTCTTTCTTGCCATTTCTTAGGATAATTTTAATCCAATTCAAACGCTTGGAGAAAATATAAAAATAAACACCTATGCTGAAAGATCTGAGACCATTACAGAGAAACTAATGCAAACATGTCCAAAGGATTTGTCTTGTGTAATTAAAGGCATTCAACAGTCTCCCCGCATACCAGGAAACATTGCTATGATTGTACAACTCTTACACAATATATCAACAGAGCTAAAGTCAGATGTTGATGAGGTAAAGATGCAGGTGAGTGACCCTGAATCCTCAGTAGAGCATCATTTTAGTGGGAAAAGGATGCAGGTTAATTGGAAGCTTCTTGGGTCCTGGAAGCAGTATCTCCCATGCCTAGCACAGAGTGTATTCAATCCATCTTCATTGAAGAAATAAGTGGATGGAATCAGCAAATCTATTTCTTCAACAAACATTTAAAGAGTATTTATTTGGCACTTTGATGGGCCTTGCAGTGTGGTGGACACTGGTGTGTTTTTTTCCAATGTAATTTTGGCTACACAAAATCTCTAAGAACTATTTTAGGTCCTGCAAAGGGAGAGAGATTCTTTTATTTGGGAAGTGGCTAAGATGGAAAATAATTCAATGCAAAGAAAATAGCCATACACTTCTGCTGCAGAAATGTGAAATGAAATTGAACCCATTTTGAGCTTCAAGACAGAATATAGTAAAAACAAAGTCAACCTCTGGGCTCAATGTCCGATTTAGTATATTCCTGTACAGTGCCCTGCACACAGCTGAGATTCAATAGATGTCAATTACATGATAGGAACTCTGACCATGGTAAGCAAATTGTTAGTTTTACCCAGGTATGAAGGGGAACTGATGATGAGTTCTCCACTTGCCTGTCTTACAGGAAGCTGTTACGTAAGTGAGAAGAGGGCAGGACAAGGTAATTTCCTTGTGGCTATATCCTCTAACTCAAACCTTAGGGATTTCATTAAACTGCAGATTCTGATTCATTAGGTCTGGGATGGGGCCTCTTAAAAGTTCCCAGAGAATGCCTATACTGCAGGTGGGAGGGTCACTCTATAAAAATGATTCTTTGATAAGCTGGCAGGTTCAGCGAGTGGTCTAACGCTAACTCTTGGTTTTCCTTGATAGAGTTACAGCACCATTGCCAACCACATTCTTAACAGCAAAAGCATCTCAAACTGGACCTTCATCCCTGAAAAAAACAGCAGCTGTGTCCTGCTACACTCAGTCAACTCCTTTGCAAGAAAGCTCTCTATAAATAAGCATCCCATTGACATATCAGATGCTTTCATTCACATCAAAGGTACCACAACGTCCCAAGACAACACTGAAAAGAATTTTACCTTTTCAATGAGAGTTAATGACACTGGCAAGAAAGTCTCTGGGAAAGTGCTCATAGCTAGAGATGAACTTCAGAATGTGCCTTCCTCTTCTCCAGTTGTCAGCATTGCATTTCCAACCCTCGGGGCCATCTTGGAAGCCAGCCTTTTAGAAAATATCATTGTAAATGGGCTTGTTCTGTCTGTAATTTTGCCCAAGGAGCTTACAAACATCTCCCTGACTTTTGAAAAGATCAGCAAGTCAGAGGAAAAGAGGACACAGTGTGTTGGCTGGCACTCCTTGGAGAGCCGATGGGACCAGAAGATCTGTCAAATGATTCAAGAAAACTCTGAGCAAGTTGTGTGCAAATGTGAGCCAAACAGGTTTTTTACCTCTTTCTCAATTCTTATGTCACCCAACACTGTGGAGAGCCCAGTCCTGACTTACATCACGTACACAGGCCTGGGCATTTCAATTTGCAGCTTGGTCCTTTGCTTGTGCATTGAGGTCTTAGTCTGGAGCCAAGTGACGAAGACAGAGATCTCGTATTTGCGCCACCTGTGCATCGTAAATGTTGCAGCCACCCTGCTGATGGCTGATGTGTGGTTCATCGTGGGTTCCTTTCTCAGTGGCCAAATGGCACGTCATAATGGATGTGTAGCGGCAACATTTTTTGTTCATTTCTTTTACCTTTCTGTGTTTTTCTGGATGCTTGCCAAGGCACTCCTTATTCTCTATGGAATCCTGATTGTTTTCCACACAATACCTAAGTCACTCCTGGTGACATGTCTCTTTTTAGTGGGCTATGGGGGCCCTTTGGTCATTGCTATCATCACAGTTGCTGTCACGGAGCCTGGCCAAGGCTACTTGCGTCCAGAGGTGTGCTGGCTCAACTGGGACAAGACCAAGGCTCTCCTGGCCTTTGTGGTCCCAGCACTGACCATCGTGGTGGTAAACCTGATCACAGTCACACTGGTAATTGTTAAGACCCAGCGAGCCACCACTGCAAGTTCTATGTTCCAGGAAGTGAGAGCCATTGTGAGGATCTGTAAGAATATTGCCATCCTCACACCACTGCTGGGACTGACCTGGGGTTTTGGAATTGCCATAGTCATCTATGATAGCTCTCTGGTCTTCCACATTATCTTCTCCTTGCTCAACGCTTTCCAGGTAAGTCCAGGCGCTCCTGAACGAGTCCAAACTAAAGATTCCTGAAGAGGATTTATTATTGGATGCTTGTGTCTTTAGATTTCTATATAACAACAATGGATTCAGAATAGGATAATGAGTAAGAAGATGAGCTATAGATCCAGAAAGTCTAGGTTCAAATTCTGACTCTCTCATCTTCTAATGTTTTTCATTATCTTTAGAGTCTCTGGGTGGCATAAAAATTTAAACACTAGACTATTAACTGAAAGATTGGCAATTTGAACTCACCCAGAAGTGCTTCAAAAGAAAGACCTGGTGGTCAGCTTCCAAAAGGTTAGACCCTTGAGAACTCTATGGAGCATACTTGTACTCTGCACACATGGGTTGCCATGAGGTGAAATTGAGTAAACATCTGTTATTTATTTCCCTATGATTTGGGGATATTTGATTAATCTTTCTAAGCTATATATATTTAACTTATAAAATGGGTGTAATATTGTGTACTTTATAGGGGCATTTGGAAAATGAAATAAAACGGTGAACCAGAAAGCACCAATTACTAAAATGATATAAAGATCAGAAGACAGCCTAATAGTAAGCTGAGTTACTAAGTATAGAAATTAAAAACAATATAATCTGTCACAAAACAATCTAGGTATGTATGTTACGTTATTAAAATTTGCAAGATTATATTTCCTTCTACTTGGATATTTTAGGGAGTCCTCCAATGTTGTCAAAGGTTTCATTTATTTTAAAATGAAATTATTAAAACTTTAATTATATGTCATGTCAACTTGCAATAAACATTTTGATACTATGGGAAGCAATATTATAATAATAGGGGACCTCATACACTTATTATTTTTTTTCTTGTGAATTGATGGAAGTTTTACAGAGCAGATCAGTTTTCTATTCAACAATTCATACACATTTTGTCTCATGAAGTTGACTGAAGTCCCCTCAATATGACATCACCATCACCCTTTCTCCCTGTCTTTCCTGTTGCCCTCCCTCCTTCTGTTTCACCCTTCTGAACTTTGTCCATGGAGAATACTGCCTTTTTTATCTCAAGTGGTAGATTATTCTAAGAAGTGTGTACCTTCCTAGTGTGACTGTTCTCTTTATACATGTATTTTTGACTGAAAATTGAGGCCAGGAATGAGTTCTGTTCCAGACCTGAAGGGCAGCTAAGGGCCACTGATTCAGAGGTTCCAGCACTCTCTATCCAACCTGTAAACCTTTTTGTTATTGTTGTTGTTATTTTGAGTTTGTTCCACACTTTCTCCTACTCTATCTTGGACCTTCTAATGGGATCTCTTTCAGAGCAGTTGATAGGGGTAGCCTGGCACCATCTAATTCTTTTGGTCTTGGGGTCATGGAGGCTGATGTTGGACTAGTCCATCAGTCCATTGGACTGTTTCCATGCATCTTCTATTTTCTTCACTCTCCTTTGGATGAGACTAGACCAATAGTTGCACCTCAGATGGCTGCTCATGAGCTTTTAAAATCCCAGTAAGTATTCACTAAAGATGTGCCTCACATATGTACTGACTCCCTGGTTTTATTTTGACATATATGTATGTTGTTGTTACTTGCCATCAAGTCCTTTCCTACTCATGACCCCAAGTATTCAGAGTAGAACTGAGTTCCACAGGGTTTTTTTAGCTGTCATCTTTAGGGAAGAAGATCACCAGGCCTTGTTTCTACAGGGCTCCTGGGTGGATTCAAACTGCCAATCTTTTGATTATCAGCCTGTACCACCCAGAGACCATTAGGTTTGAATGTTGTTGTTGTTGTTGTTGTTATTGTGAAATGCCACTGAGTCAGTTCCAACTCATAGTGAACCTATGTAGAGTTTCCAAGGAACAATTTGTGGGTTTGAAATGCTGACCTCACAGTTAACAGTCCAGTGTTTATCCTACAGCAACACACCAGGATTGCATTTGAATGTTGTTTTTGTTAAGTGTCTTCTAGCTCATAGTAATTATGAAGTGCTTTACTCAGGTTTACACGGCTAGATATGAATAGAGATGTTGTTGTTGCTATGTGCCGTGGAGTCGGTTCTGACTCATAGTGACCCTGCACAGGGTTTCCGAGGCTGTAAATCTTTACAGCAGCAGACCGCCTCATCTTTCTCCCACGGAACCACTGGTAGTTTCGAACTGCTGACCTTGAGGTTGGCAGCCTGACTCATAACCACTATGCTACCAGAGCTCCTTAGGAATAGAGATAAAGGCCCCATTTTCCTAAATTTCAGTTTGGCATATTCCATATGCCTGCTCAGTATTTTCCTTTCTTTGTCTACCTTGGGGTCATCTGTGTGTTAGCTTTACTTTGTGCTATAGCTTAGCAGCACTTACATTTTGATACCATGAGCAGCATCTCCCTGGCTCCTTTACTAGTCTTCACAGGGTTAATATGTAGTTGCAAAATCATTTTCTGCCACAAAGTCTGCAGTTCTAGTCCAGCAGCTGCTCCATGAAACGTGAGGCTTTCCTCCTCTAGCAGAGATTTACAGCCTTGGAAACTATATACAGGGTCACTTTGAGTTAGAACTGACTCAACAGCACTCAATAACAATAGTTTAGTTCTGCAAGGGAGGTTGGGAGACAGTTCGTGACTTTCACACTGAAGAACAATGGACTCAAGGTAGGAAATTCTTCAAATATAAACAACTTCTCTCAGGAAGTGGGGTGGAGCCATCTAAGTGCTAGTACTGTTGGGGCAGTGAGTTGCTGAGGGCAGGATTGGGTGAAGGCCAGATTCTGTGGAGGGTGGCATGCTGGAGCTGGCTCACATGGGCTCACAAGAACCAACTGCTACATTTTCAGGGACGTTGTGAGCAGGTTGTAAACACAGACATCATTTAAAAATAAATTATACAGACATGCAATTAAATAAATTATATGAAAAACAAGGGTACTTCTTAAAGCTTACCATGTCCTAATTATTTTACTACATTTCACCAAGCTTTTGAAGCTGTTTGCATCTATTGTGTCTGCATGGCCAAAACTCTGGATAGCTGGGAGCATTTAGAGACATCACATTACCATATTTAAATCTGCCTTTTGTTGTTAATGGTCATGGAGTTCATTCTAACTCATGACAACCCCATGTACCATAGAATAGAACTGCTCCATGGAGTTTTCTTGACTGTGTGTGTGAAAATATATATATATTTAAGGAGCTCTGGTAGCGTAGTGGTTACGAATCAGGCTGTGAACATCAGGGTCAGCAGTTCGAAACTACCAGCTGTTCCACAGGAGAAAGATGAAGCTTTCTGCTC